TAGTAGGATGAACATAAGGAAGAGGAATGCTTTGTATAAGGCCAAATTGTCTGGCCCATTGGTTAGAGTTGTAACTCTCAAAACCATAGGTAGAGTGCCTGTTGCTAAAAAGGGAGCCTCCAACCAAGATGTACCAAGAAAAAAGATAAATGCTTCAGACTATCTTTTGAGCTTGCCTAAGGTCATCATACATGTCAGATAAAGAGTTAGAAAAGAAGAGGAAGGATTGAAAAGGAAGGGAAGGAATTCTCTCGATGGTAAAGTTCAAAAAAGTAGAGAAATATTGAGCAGAAGTAACAATAGGAGAATGACGATAGGATAGAAAGAATTTAGCATAAGTTTCACACTTGGGTGTGTAATCTATTCTCCTATTTGATCTGATCTTTGGAAAATAAGCAAGAAGCTAGGCTTGAAAATGCCAAAAAAGGCCCCATACACGATGACTTATTCTTTTGTCATGGAAAGAAAAAAATGCCTCTATACATGGTGGCCAGAAGAAAATGGGCAAAAGCTAGTTGTCTGCCTTTTTGGATTAGAAGGGCAAGAGTGAGGTATTCCTTAGTAATTCTAAGGCCACCTACACAAAAAAGGAATTGGCACAACCAACACAAATAAAAAGCCATTTTTATAGTAATTGAAGGAATGCCAGTTTTTTTTGAGTGGTCCGAAATGAATTTACCATAATTGCCTACTTTGACATGATGTTTAGCTTCAAGGGTTGGCAAAATGGCATGGATGTCTTGGCCATAAGCAGGAAGGCCAATGAGGTGCATAATATCAAGGATAGTAGGTGAGGCCATACTAGATTTAAGCATTAGAGAATTGCAAGAGGTGGACCAGAAACATGTGCTGCACCAATCAGCCAAGGGTCTACCTCAAATGAGATATTAGATAGTTGAATGGCGCAGTAAATGCCCAAATTATGCCACATATCCCCTTCAAAAGTAGTCATCCTCTTTGCCTAAGCTATCCAAGCATTAGTGGGTTTGGGCCATGATCTGGGACCTGTCGACCAATTCAGCCATAAAAGGGAAGACTGGTCTAGGAGGAGGATCTCACCATCAGCAATGGGGTAGTATAGAGTCAGACTATCTAGAAAAGTGTTCAAAACACAAGGGCCAAGTTCCTCAACACCGATAGTTCGGTTGGCCGTGATTTGGGAATCGAACTTGCTGCTTTCGATAAGTTGGATGATCTCTTGTGAGAATCGATGAATTAGGTCAGAATTTGAGTCGGAAGACATGGCTAAAGAAGTTAGGGTTTCTTGGTTTCAGAGGAAGAGAAAAAGTTAGAAAAAGTTTGCAAGAAGAAAGAAGTAACGAAGAGGGAGAATTTGAAAAACTTTAAGAACCGTCGCGTGGGGCCTAAAATAAAAAATAAAAACAGGAAAAGTGAAAGGATACTGATGGATACTGATGGGCCTGTGAACTGTTAAGCGGCCCAAAGAAATTTAAAAACATTAGGCCCACAAGCAAAATTCAAGACTAATATTATTCAAGGCAAAAGATTTTCTTTTTATCATGAATAAATGAGGTATTGTTGGTGCTAAAATTCGGGAATCTTTTATCGACAGGTCATAGCGATGACGTGGCAATGATGGCTAAAATAGCTAATGTAGCATAAAGTGGGACTAGAGAGATAAGGCTGCAGAAGATGATAACATAGAATCTAGAGAGTAATCAGAGAACAGTTCCTAAAATAGGGAGATAAACATGAAAAGAGGCAGAGAATCAAGGGAAATCATAATCAGGGCCAAGCCAGGAGTCAACTATAAAAGAAGATGGAATCGATCAATCATTCATTTCAACCATCATTCACAATACGTGATATTTATCTAGGAGTAGTTTAATTTAACCATTATTAGGAGTAGATTACTAATAGCTTTTCCCAACCCCCACTTTTCTTCTTTCTGTCGATTGCTGTATTTTTCATTTCTTTGTTCTTGTTTGAGTTCTTGTAACTGATAACAAGTAACAATTTAATTGAGTAAATACGTATTCTTTTTTGTTCAAATCCTTCTTTACTTAATTACCTACAGGGAAGTTCTTAATCTGTTTAATGCATAGAACTCAACCACAAAGTCTGATCTTTTGTATATATTAAGATTTGTTTAAGCCTGTCGATCAATCACTGTCGATTGGGGCCTAAACCGAATTTTTGCTAACACATCACAATCTTGATTTCTCTTTCTACTAGCAATTACAACCATCACCACACTTTGTGATCTCTTTTTATCTGGTTCGATAATCTACTTTCGAACTAACACTATTTTTTTGATGATTTACGTCTGAACTACCACTATTGTTCGGTGGTTTACATCTAAACCACCACCATTTGTTCAACATTGGTTCTGAATTAGGCGTTATATTTTCAAATCAAGGAAAATTGAAACATGAGGCAATATGAAAAGGGCTTTGGGGTAACTATGTACGTGGCAACGATGACAGTTAATGAAATTAATAGAAAAGAGAAATGTATGCATGATGGAAATGAGACGATGGATCACTAGAGTTGGGCGTGAAAAAAGTTGAGGGTTAGTGGAGAGTTGGAAAAGAAGGAGAAGGAACTGGAGTGACTGTCTAAGTTTCTAGTGACACTAACTGGGCAAGGCAGTAAAGAGTTATGCTAGAGATTCCAAATTATCTACTAAATTTTTTACCAAATCTCTCATATGGGTGTGAGACCCACACACATGTGGGTGTTTGTGGGTTTCACACCCATATGAGAGATTTAACAAAAAATTTGGTAAATTATTTAGGGTTTATAGCATTTTCCAGTAGTAAATGGCTATAAAATTGGTATAATGGCATTAAAGAAAAAAATAAAATAAAAAAATAAAAGTGCAGGAGTGTCCAACTAACAATTTGAAGTGCATTTAAAGCGAATGTAGATATATTTGGGGTAGCAAAAAGATAATGATTTACCTTTTTATTTTTTGTAATTAGGTTAAAAGACAAACAATGATAGGGGTTATTTGTTAATTTTGCTAATTCAAGGAGAAAATTGAATTTTGTTTAAATTATGGGTTGTGTTTGTAAATTAGCCATAAAACAACCAAAAAAGTTATTAATCGTCGTCATCGGAACAAATGGGAGGGGAGAGGGAGAGAGAGAGATGGGTTTGGGTTTTGGGTTTGTGATTGAGGCAGCGATGGTGGCGCGTCGGGAGTGGGAAGGAGCGGGACAGGGCGGCGATATCCTGCTCCTCCTCTCAGCGCTTTTCTCTCTCTCTCTCTCTCTCTCTCTCTCTCTCTCTTTCTCTAATGCTTCATATTTGCAAGAATGTATTCATCGTTTTGAAATAAAGCTGATTTTTTTTCTTCTAAATTACTCACCAAAACGATGTCGTTTTGGTGAGGTTTAATTTCAGCCGTTAGATGGATCTAAGATTTTACTCCAGAGGATCTTGACGCGTCGGATACAATGAGAGGGCATCAAAGTTTCTGCACCAAAAACAAGAAAAATAACCAAAAAATTATTTGTTGACGGAATTGAATTGTTTGAATGGGATGAGATCTAATTAAATCCGATCCCTTAAAAGTCTTATTAACACAATTCACAACCTATCTCAGTACAATGTATTAAAATCTTGAGAGACTAGAGAAGAAAACCTCTGTTTGGTAGAGCTTTTGAAGTTTAATTCTACCCCTTAGTTTGAGTGTGTTGTTTGGTTACAGCTTTAGAAAAGTAATTCGACACCCACTTTTCAAAACACTTTTCAAAAGAGTCTTGAATTGAGTTTTGAATTAAGTTTTAAATTTTTAATATGACATATGAAATGAGAAAAGTTGTTTGGTTATGTATTTTGAAAAGAGCTTTCAAAATTTAATTCAAAAACTTATAACTCATAACCAAACACACAACTCAAAACTCTATTCAAAATTCTATTCAAAATTCATAATAAAACTATTTTTAAAATTCAATTCAAAAAAAAATAATTATTAAAAAAAATAATTTTTTTATTTAAAAATTTTAAAATTCCGAAAATATTTTTAATTTAAAATATTAAAAATATATATTATTATTTGTTAGAAAAAAATTCAGCTAGTGTTTTAAAATTCTTTTTGATTGTATATTTGGTTGGAACTTTTTTTTAATTTTAAAAAATTATTGTGACAAATTAATTTTTACTTAAAAATATTTTTTGTTAATTTTAAATAAATGTCCAACGAATTTGTCATTTTGGTCTAAAAAATATAATTTCTATATTTAAAAAATATCAAAAACAAATATAAATTTTTTTGTTCACAGAACAAGTGCCCAAAAAAAATAAAAATAAAAAATTGTTCCGGTTAACCGGCTAGATGACCGGAGGACGACCGGGTAGACCCAATATTTTTTGAAAACTAACTGAGAAGAGTTCTACCAAACGTGTTATGAAAGATGTTTTGAAATGTGAAGTTAGAATTAATTTTTGAAAACTCCATCCAAATAGAGGCTTCGCGTATAAGGATAGAACAAGAATTCCAGTGCTACACCAATCACAATTAGAAATTGAAAATGTTACAAGCATTTGCAAACCAAATTCAGTTGCTCATGAATTGGCACCTTAGATTCTCAGGAATCAGTTCTCTGGCGTGCACGTTTGCCGGAGATCTCCCTCCCCAAGGAGCTTGATGCTAGATGAGCATATATTGGCAGCTTCTTCTGAATCTTGATGCTCGTTGTCGCTATGTAAGTCCTGCTTTGTGTTTCTTTTTCTTTTCTCTGCAGTGCTCTACTTTCTTCTGTGTTCTCTCAATTCCTTGTTCTTGCTTCATTTACAAAAAGAAGGAAAAAATTGCAATGCAGGTTCAAAATCATTCCAGTTTTGTAGCTTTTGAAAGAAAAAGTAGTCCCACAACATCATGTAGTAATACAAAGAGGAGAAAATCCTACCCAGCCAAACCAAATCTAAACTTTCTAGCCCTGAACAGTTTTTTTTACATTGGAATTTAACACGCGGTCAAAACGTCCACACACACAAGAACAAGAAGAAGAGGAGAAAGCCCATGCGCGGTCTAAAAGTGAAGTCTGGCAATTGCAGCATTGTCCAGCCCAGCCCAATACCAATAATAAATTAATAATAATCCAAGTTTACACACAACAGGAGATATGCCATGCCACCACTAGACAAAACCCAAAAAAAATATTAACCAGAATACAATAATAAAGTTGACAATTGAAGGTGACCTTCACGTACACAAACAAATATGAAGAACACAAGGTAGTTGAAATGCAACAACATAGTAGCCTCCCACGCCTATAATGCCAAAAATCCACAAAACAAACACCAAATATTCTCATAGGCAATGAAACTATAAATACCATCTCTAACCAAGTCTCTCTTCACCACATCTCATCACACCAAGCCTATCTACTCGACTCTCTAAAGCTCTAATCACCCTCCGTTAAAGAAGATGGCAAGCACCCAGATCATGATTGTTGCCTCTTTACTCCTATTGGCCATTCACTCCATTGCTGCTTATGAGAATGTTCCAGCCAAAGCAGTAGAGAAGAATGTAGATGTCGTGGTGGAAGGCATGGTCTATTGCCAGAGCTGCGAGCACTTCGGAACTTGGTCGATGTCTGGTGCTGAGCCCATCTCTGCAGCTAAAGTTAGCGTTATCTGCAAAGATTACAGAAACCGAGTCAGCTATTACAAGGTGTTCGAAACAGATGCACATGGTTACTTCTATGCACAATTGGAAGGTTTCAAGATGGGCCACTCCTTATTGGACCATCCCCTCACCTCATGCCATGTGAAACTCGTTTCTTCGCCTCTACAAAGCTGCAACCTACTTTCTAATGTGAACTACGGACTCAACGGTTCCCCACTCCGCTACGAGAATAAGAGAATGCTAGGAAAGAATTATGAGGCTGTGGTTTATGCTGCGGGTCCCTTGGCATTTCGCCCAGCTCACTGCACTCCCACCAGTCACCTCTGATTTCACACCAGTTATTTATCCGGAACCCCTGATTAATTTTTATTGTTTTTTTTCAGTTGTTCTTTCCTATTTGTTCACAGTTCTGTAATGTTTCTCAGCTCACATTTTGTTCTATTTGTTGCATAAATTGACATATTTTGTTCTTATTTCATTATCTTTCTATTTATCAATTTATTGTAATATGTGGCACAAGAACAGGGTGTACCACTGATTCAATGGTAAAACCTTGGCCTAATAACCTTGAAGTTATAGATTCAAGTCTCAGGCAACCACTTTATGACTATGCCAAAGGTTAAGTGTGTACCCAATCTTTTCCCTCCCAAATACACATTAATGTGTACTAATTGGGCTATTTTTTTCTTTTCTTTTTTTCTCTTTTTAATTGTGGCACAAGAACACTTCAAAGACAAAAACAAGCAAAAAATCCATCTACATCCAATTTTCACAATTCAAATGTGTAAAGAATATCAAAATCACAGCTTAATCAACCATATAGATCAAATGACAGAACAATCAAAACATATATTAGTAGTTAGAAAGTTACCTCGCTCTCACTTAGAAGTCTAATGGCATTCCAAACATCTTGTTTATCTCATCCATGGCTTCCTTTGTACACACTGTCTGCTCGAACAAACCATCGTTTTTGGGAGTCGAGCTTGGTCGGGAATGCGCTTGTTGATGGCCCAAGTCATCATCAGGAAGTATTAAAAACCCCTCACAGTTATTCTTACTGTTGTATGGAGCTTTGTCCTGCTTTTTCCGTCTATTTGCCCTAACAAAATCTATTGGCTTCCCAAACATGCTATTTATATCATCCATAGCCTCCTTCAAGTTAATTGTGGGTTCTACAAGGCCATGGTGGCAAACATTTTCTACCTGTGGCTCATCCGAAATGGTGGACCCCACAAACCTACAAACCACTGTATCCTCTCTAAGTCTTGCTCGGGGTGACCTCTCCGTATCTAGATCATTTGGACTTGGAAACACATATGCATTAACATGTTCCGTAAGTTGTTGAACCTTACTTTCTTCTAAATCATCTTTCACATTAATTCTCTCCTCCACTCCGTTGCTTTCTTCATCATCGATATATATTTGAAGTGGTTCTTGGAGAATCTGGTTAGTTTCAACTCTGTTATGTTGCAGCAGTTCAAAACCCTTCTCACCATTTTGGTTTGATGGTCCAGCCTCATCCAAGTTTTCATCAACAAACACTTCAAATCCTTTGTCCAATCTCTGATCAACTTTGGGCTTGTTGCTTTTATGTGATCTCCCATTAAAATGTGCTGGCTCCAGAGGTTCTCGAAACATGCTATTAATGGCGTTCAAGGCTTCTTTTGTGTTTATTGTGGGCTCTACAAGGCCATGATGGCATGCATCTTCTGCTTCAGACTGTCCCGCAATGGCAGTACCTAGAAACCTTACTACAACCGTATCATCACCACAAAAATTGTTAGGTTCATCCGATTCTGCTTGATTATTATCGTGTCGATTGAGAAAGCTTCCACATCTAATATCTCCCTCGACTCCCATCTTCAGAGATGAATCACTAGATACTTCAACATTTTCATGGTTAGGTTGTGTTTCAGGTAAAGACTTCTCATTGTTTCTTTTAGCATCGTTACATTTGGGAGGGAGGCTCACAACACGGAGAAGCCCCTTGCCCCTCATCCTTTCCTGGCACTGCATGGCATCGGCCCAGGGTTAGGTAATGAAGGAATCTTATAGACAATGAGAAAAAATTTAATATTAAAATCCAAAAGAAACACAACCTGCATTTTCTTTTTCTTGTGTCGTTCCATGCGATGAAGGAACTGCTCGTAGGACTTTTGCAACTCATCAATTGGCTCTGCAAGGCTGCTCAACAGTACATAGAAGGTGAAAATAGTTCACAGCAGACTTCAATTAGATATTACTACATCCATTTGTTTATACGTTGGATAAATCCTGTCAAAGATTAAGGGTGCATTGGCATCATTTTCATTTTCTGTTTTTCGTTCTCAAATTGCAACTCATCAATTGGCTCTGCAAGGCTGCTCAACAGTACATAGAAGGTGAAAATAGTTCACAGCAGACTTCAATTAGATATTACTACATCCATTTGTTTATACGTTGGATAAATCCTGTCAGAGATTAAGGGTGCATTGGCATCATTTTCATTTTCTGTTTTTCGTTCTCAAAAAAAAAAAAAAAAAAAAAATTCGAAACTGATATGGAAAGCTTGTTTGCAAATTGTTTTCGGAAAAATTTCTAAAAGCACACCTTTTTAGGAAACACTTTTTAACAGTTTTCCAAATTTTCAAAAAACATTTCTGCACAACGTGAAAATGATGGGTGTTTCCAAACTTTTCATTGTTTTGTTACCGAAAACATTAAAAAAATAAAAATCAAAAAAATCAAAATGCAAAATTTGACATCAATACCAAACAAAGCCCAAAATAAACAATTAATTCACCAAGTACAGAGCAAAATCAACCATCCACATTGAGTTCAAACCTCTAACAATAGATAGTCAAACACAGTACCATGTTCCTATTAATTCAAAAACTTTTAGTTTTAAAATTTCTGCACAATTGTTGGGTGAGAACAGGCTCTCTCAACGAAAGAATAGCATTATGAAATTACCCTATTATTTCAAAAAAATAAAAAGCATAAGATAAAAGAATGGCATCATACAGCTGAATAAAGCACCATAAAAAAACAAAAACTGTTTTTCAAACTAAAAATAAATAAATAAATAAAATACATTTCCAAAATTGAAGAAGAAAACTGTTCAAGTTCAGACTATTGACAGCTAAAGAAGACAAGTAAATGCAATAGGATTGAGCACAAACAGAGCAAAGCAGGTGAATTAGATTTTAGTTATATCTTGAATATCTTATTTAATAAATATTTTACCTATAGGTCAACTAAGCTTAGAACAACATAAACATTGTTAGACATCAGCCGGATTTTTAGTATAAACTTAAACAACACAAAGCTACAATCTTCCAGTGATATCCTCTATTCTAATGCATAAATGAAAAGCCAAAGCACATCAGAAAAGTGGGACAAAGAAACTTATTAAAAGTAAATTTCAAGATCAGAAGACCATTGGGGGCAGCACCTTAGGCATATAAATGTGATAATCATGCTGCATTCACCTAATTTATCACCCCTAAATGATCCCTAATGATGTGGCATTGAGGTTAGACCCACATGATGGAATGTCTGACAAATCAAAATTTGACACTTGTCAAACACATCATTAGGGGTGATAAATTAGGTGTCTCAAGCTTTTTTTAAATGCCATTAAAAACAGGATATAAATTATAATAGTCACTTTCTCCCATGAAATCCAAAGGTCAATACAATTTTGTAAATAAAAATGCTTACTTCTGCACTCCTAAATGATACATCTTATCAGCCTCCTCAAAATTCTTCAACTTCTCGTAATAAAGAGCATATGCCTGATAAAACAGTGACTTCTTCATCCCAATACGGTTTGCTTCCATTGTACTTAACACTGCTCTTGGATCATCCACAAAATCCATCTGAACAAACAACAACAATTATGTGAAATTATATGAAAACCTGATTTAGTTTCACAAATCCATGAGATAATGAATGATAAATAAAGGAATTTTTTCCCCCCACAATGTGGAGGAAAAATGAAGTAATGCAAATAGCAGATGTGCTAAATGATCTTTTTTTTCATTTCTATTTCCTGGCTCCGAATATAGAAAAACTCAAGTACTGTTTGGTTGAGATTTTAAAGGAATTTTTTCCCAAAGCAATATAACTATATCAAACGGTGAATAAGAAATTCAAGTCAACTTATTTTCTTCACTTTCTCCCATATTTTCTCAACAACCAAACAGACACTACAAACTAAACACAAATCCATAAGAAAATGAATGATAAATAGCTGACATACAAATTGATCCCTTTTTTTTCATTTCTATTTCCTGGCTTCTAATACAGAAAAACTCAGGTACTGATTGGTTGAGACTTTAAAGGAATTAAAAACAAAGCAATATAACCAGTATATCAAACGGTGAATAATAAGAAATTCAAAACGACTAATTTTGTTCAGTTTCTCCTGTATTTTCTCAGCAACCAAACAGAAACCAGTAATAAATACATCAACAGAAGAACGACCCAGTAAGTAAATCATGAAGAAAGCAAAGGAACAAGTGATGGGTAGTTACCAATTGCAACCAAACGCGAAAGTAGCGCAAATCATTGGTGTAACGCCGATCGGTTTGGAAGGTCTGGGCACATTTCTGGAGGAAGCGAGGGAGCTTTTCTTTGAGAAGCAGAGGAGGGAGAGAGTCCCTCATCTTCCGAATCCCTCTGCATATATTAGGCATCATCAGCATTCGATTCAAGCACTATTATACATAAAAATAAAAAATAAAATACTAAAAAATTGTGGAATGCAGAAAAGAGAAGAGAAGGGAAAATAAGAATGGAGAAATGGAACTAACTGTATTACCTGAGCCAAGGAAGAAGAGGGTCTTTGCCTGTGTAGGTCTTGATGTCTGAGATCAGTGAAGAGAAGAGTTCGTCGCTCGAGTTCGAGTTCGACATGGTTCGTTTGATATGCAAGTGTGTGTGGAGAGACTCGAGAGAGAAACAGATATGGGGATTGTTTTTGATTTGTTAGTGTGGGGAAGCAATACCTAATTTTGAATTTCTGGAGGCGGTGTTTGGTGTTTTTAGATGAATAAAGACACTATATAAAGCATCTATTGGGCCACGTGGCAAAAATGGTTAGTATTAAAATATTGAATACATTTAGTGATATTAATCAATAAATCTCATCCCACAAACAAGTACATCAATTAGTTTTAAGTTTTTTCTATTGATTTGTTAAGTCTTAGGGGTTGTTTGAGATGTCTTAAATAAATGTACTTTTTGTCTTTTTAGATTAAAAAATTGAGAAAAAAAATATGATTATTTGGAATAATTTTTTGACTTTTTACGAAAAAATGTATATTAAAAAAGTGTATAAATTAGTGTATAAGAGAAGATTGAAGGGAATAGGCGGTACAATAGGATGAATTGAGGGCCAGTGGAGTAGGGGCTGGGAAATGATTCCCTGCTTTTTGGCCATTGAATTAGAGATGTTGTTCGGCCTGTGGGGGCCTATCACAGGTCCCGTTTTACTAATCAAAATCGTTCAATATATAGAACTCATCGAATATTATATTCCTGTAAAAAATCACATTGATCAGATATCAATAGCTAGCTATCTAATCGATTAGTTTGTTTTCAACCGTCAACTATAACACCATCTATTTTATGAATTTTAACTGATTTGATCATATAGTTACTGATACCTAATCAATGTGATTTTTTACAAGTATATAGTACTCGACAAGTTCTACATATTAACGGTTCAGATTATTAAAAAGGAACCCGTGATGGCCCCCACGGGCCGATCAGCATTGTGTTAAATTGTACACCTAAATAAATTCAATTTTCTCACAAGTCAGCTCCGCTGCTCTGCCGTCAAAGTTGTTTGAAAGTGAAGATTGTGTAAAATTATTTTTTTAATATTTTCTTTTTGGTGGATAGTGATAATTTTTTAATTTTTTAAGTAAATTTTTGACTTTTTTTTAGTACCCAAACCAGGCCTTATTAGTGGAGAGTTTCTTTCCATGTGGTCCTATTTTTTAGTTTGATAGTGTTTTGGTAGACAGTTATACCCTTTTTATTAATGTAACAGGTATGATGTGATAATGTGGCACTCCAAAAAAATTAAAAATTCGTTAGTGTACTTTTCATAAATGTGTCACTATGATGTAACATTTCAAAACTTTTATTTAAAAAAAAAATAAAAACTTCTTAGTGTATTTTTCCTAAATGTGACAACGTGGCGGGTATGATGTAAAACTTAAAAAAAAAAAAAAAAAAAAAAAAAAAAAAAAAAACTCCTTAATATACTTTTCTCAAACATGACAACGTGATAGGCATGATGTGACACTCTAAAAAAAAATTAAGAACTCCTTAGTATATTTTTCCCAAACGTGACAACGTGATGTGTATGATATGACACTCTAAAAATAAAAAAATAAAAAAAAAACTCCTTAGTGTACTTTTCTCAAATGTGACATGTGAGTCCAATGTGGCGGGTATGATGTGATACTCTAAAAAAATAAAAGACTTTTTAATATACTTTTTCCAAACGTGACACTCTAACGTGACAGACAAATGAGTCATTATACATCTAAAAGGACTAAATAGATCACAAAAAAATATATAAGATTATATGTATTAGAAGTCCAAAATATGAGACTTATTGGTCAATCTCTCATAAATTTATACAAACAATCATAAAATTCATATAAAAAAAACTTAACAAGAATAATATGATAATATTATTATTGTAAATAAATTCATTTTCAATGCTATTTTGTTTTAAATTAAAAGGTTTACAATGAGCCACACTATTGATAAATGAGTAAGTACACCCTTTCATTTTTATTTTTTTATCACAATTTTATCATTTTGGGTAAAATTACCAATTGATCCCAAAATCCTACTTAGTTGAACCACTAATTTCTCATCTCATCCAATCTTTCACTCACTCTCTACTCTGCTCACCTCCAGTAGCCCTCCTCCACCGTTCGCCCACCTTCAACAGTCTTCCTCCTACCATTTCCCACCTTCGGCAACTCTCTACAAACACCTAACACTCTTTCCCCTACATCCGGCAGCCCCTCACGACGATTTTAACTTACACAACCCACCATCTGTCCTTTTTACGTCGACTGTAATTTTGACTAACACCGACTTGCCTAGGATGCAACCCTTTTGGCCACCAAAAACTCTCTCCATAATTCTCACTAGATATGTGTATACAACCAAAAAAAAAGAAAAAAAACCAATGATTATTGAATCTGTGTGTATGCAACAAAGAATGTAATGATATCAACAAATGAATTCATCGGTTGCCTGATATTCATATACAGTGTTAATTGACCAAATCCAATGAATTTCATGGTTGCTTGATAAGAAAAATCATTAGATCAATGCTTATATGCATTTATGCACACTTGCTTTGATGACAAAAATAAAGCAATTTTGAAGCTGCCCATCTTCTTTCTTTCTTCATTCCTTCATTCTTCTTTTTCTTCTCCTCCTCCAAACCCTAGATCTGAAACTCTCTCTCTCTCTCTCTCTCCCTTTAGGTTGTAGGGCTGGTTTTGCGATGGTGGTGGCTGTGAAGGTTGGGTTCGCGGGTGGTGGTGGGTGGCTGTGGGTTGCGGTTGTCGCGGCGGTGGTAATAAGGACTGAATGGCAACGATGGTGACTGAAGGTGGAGGAAACGGTGGTGGGATGAAATTAGGGTTTCAAATGTGAATGGGGGTGTATAAAGATGATGAATTGGTAGTGAGAAGGATATATTGGGAATTATGGACAGTTTAATGAGATAAAAATGGTGTAAAAAGAAATAGGCGCAAGGAGATAAATATATGGTGCAACTAGAATTACCCTTGACAAATATTCATAATTTGTAGTTACTCAAAACAAAATAGAATATTATTAAGGCACATATTAAGAATGTAATTATAATATTTAAAACTACCTTCACTTGTATGGGAAAACACAAGTAAATTCAAAAACTAAATAATTTTGTTCATGGATAAAAATACCCTCACTTTTGGAATAATAAATTGACTTATTTATAAAAATATAACAAAATAAAATGATTGTACCTCTTGAATAAATAAAAAAAAGTGCCAATATTTTATTATAAATAAAAAATAAATTTATAAATCATATAAAATAGGAAAATTTTAATATACACCTCTTTAAAAAAGGTATATTATATGCACCCTTAGTTATGTCATTTTCTTCTTTAGTTATGACCAATTTTCTTCTTTAGTTATAATATTATTTTAATTATAACTCTTGAGTTTTTTAGTTATGTCTCATGTTGTGTCTAGTTATGACAATTTTTTTATTTATAATTATGATTCAGAAAATTAAAATTATACCATTTTTCTTTATAAGTATAAAATACATATACTATACCATAGTGTTTCCCATGAAATAATAGTATTCATTCAAGTTGGAACAATTCCTTAAAATGGATTGATGAATTTCACTTGCTATTAGATTTTCATCTATTAATGCTATAATATTATAATAAAAAAAATACATTTCAATTCATTTCAAAAAATAATAAGCCAAATAAATAAAAACACTTTATTTAAAATTATATAATCACAATAATATGTGTTGCAAATTAAAAAAAAATTATAATAATAATAAAATAAAATAATAGAAGGGAAATTAATGGGTGAAATTGAGGGAAATACAAAAAGGATATTTTGGTCTCTATGTAAAAAAATATATATATATTTATCCTAACCGCATTAAAAACTTTTATTATTTTCTATACAAGTAAGAATAAATGGACTCATTTAATGTCTTTCTTAACATATGCCCTTACGGCACATATTAACAAAAGCTAACAAAATAATAACTAATTCAAAAGAGTGAATAATATTTTGACACATGTATTTTAAAAAAATTTAAATTTGTGAAAATAGTTGGAAATTTTCAAGCACAAAAACCTTCGAATATTGTGCAATTATATATGATTTATTTACTTTCTAAAATCATGTAAATTAGATTAGGGATGCACATAAAAATTGAAAAAATCATAAATTGGTCCGGTCTAGGCCAGATTGCATGATTTGGTTTGATTTTCTCAATGCACGGTTTGATTATGATTTTTGAAATAAGCAAACCGTATTTCACGGTTTTGTCCATGATATTATAGTTACGAATCTAGATAGAACCAAACCAGATCGTTTAGATTATATATATAATTTGTTACCGAATGTAAATACTAAAATATTTTATTAGTATCGAATATATATGTACATATAAATTTTTGTTACACAAGAAAGCAACCCAAGAGGGGGTGAATTGGGTAATTAAAAAATATGACTAAAAAATAGATTTCAAATGACTAAGTGAGTAAACAAAAAATAAATGAGAAGGAATGAAGAGCTCAAACACAAGGATTTATAATGGTTCGGCTCACCGGCCTACGCCCACTCCTTAAGATACCTCATCGAAAATTCTTCACTATGAATCAATGCACCACCAAGTTTCACCTATCTTGTGGATTTTTACAAATGACTTACTTATATCTGTTGAGGACCTCTGAACTAAAATGCTTCACTTTATAAGTGTTTCACTCAAAAAATAGAAATAAGAATCAGAGGTACAACTATCATCTTTTACAGATTTTCCCTCTTAAAAGATGAATATGAAAATGTAAGCACAGAGGGAATTTAAGACTCACTCAGATATGAAAATAGAAGTACAATGAAATACAATGAAGTATAATAAAAGCTCTTGAATGTTCTAGTGTTCTTGTGATGAAGAGTTATATTTTTTTCGAACAATGAGAGCTTCTTATTTATAGCATTAATGGTTTCTAGCTGTTGGAGAGAGGCATATTTGAATCTTCTAGCCGTTGAAGCAAATCATGAAGGATATCTTCCGGCTGTGTTGATCAGAGCATGGTGTAAACAGACTGTAGACAAGTCTTGGGAAGATGAGGTTCATTAAATGCCCAAGCTTTCATTAAATGTTCAACCTCATAAATCAACTCTTGGTAGAAGATATAGTGTCAGAAGTTCTACTCAGGGATCAGAAATGATGACATATTCTG